CACAGCCACTACTACAGCTAGTCCCAGTACAACCACTACTACAGCTAGTCCCAGTACAACCACTACACTACATCATGCGAGTCAGTAAGCCTGATTCCGATCACTAGACTTGCACAAGTCTCCAAGGTAAAATTAATAGTTTAAAGGATAATTTCTAATAAAAAATAAATAAATAACAGACTGGGATCCTTAGAGTTGCCTCTTCGAAGGATAGAGCTACTGTACACCCATGGGCTCAGCATTCAGTACAGCCTTGGAGCAAGACTACCCGATCCCGTCAGACAGACTCGGTGATTTACAACTCGCCGTCTTACAGCCTGATTACTAATGAGTGGGCGTTTACCAAGAACAGCAGTACCAAGGTAGAATTAAATCAAAATAACTCTTGTGAACTCTCCTGTATGTCTTGATTTACTTTTCGGTAATTTTTTAAAAATATGTTAAAATCATTACTACATAAACCAACTTTATCTTCCTCACACAATATACACTCACGTGCAAAGAAACGTCCCCTAAAAATTTAAATTATATCATTTGCTGGATATGGCCAAAAACATGAAAAACAGTTCGGAACACATTGCCCAAACACACAAAATGTACTGACACCCTTAAGGAAATGCGTGCAGTAAATCACCCGTATGGAGGTCGGTTATAAAACACATTGGAAACTGTTCTTTGCAATCACAATCACAAAGACCGATTGGCATACTGCAGCTGGGAGCAACGCACGACCATGTTGGAAGAATCCTGGGTTGTGCAAAAGAACGATTTGGACATTGGTCACACGTTACAGACAAGCTGGCCGGACAGCAGACAGGCCGAGGAGCGGTCGACCACAAGAGGACCGTTATATACGGACGCTTCATTTAAGCAACAGATTCCTCGCCGACGTCATCATCAGTGCTTAGCCTTGGTCATCGCGTCAGCAGGTGGACAGTGTCCAGACGACAACGTCAGCATGGAAATCCGGAGCCTAGTCCGTTGAGGGGCATGACGTTACCGTCGGAATATCGAAGATTGGTTTTGGCCAGGAATGTTCGTCAGTGGCAGCAACGGGACCGGCAACGGGTCGTTTTCAGCGTCGAGAGTAGGTTCCATTTGAACAGAACTGATGACCGAAGACAGTGTCTACCACTGGCGTGGGAACGGACGGCACGTTGTTGCGTCTCCCGAAACGGAACCATATGGTATAGGGAGTGTGACGGTTTGGGGTGGGAAACACCAAGACCGATCTTGTTATCAACAATGGCAGCCTGACAGCCCGTCGGTATATTGATGATGAAGTTCTGCGGCCCTATATCCTGCCTTTCCTCCAGCAATATCCAGGAACCTTGGTTCAAAAGGCAATAGAACAGCTCACACCGCTTTTGTCAGCAACGGCCTTTCTCAACGTCAACAACGTGCCCGTCCAGCCTTGGCACGAAGTTCCCCTGACATGTCTCCGTCAGAGCACTTGTTGGGCCATATCTTGACGTCGGATTCTACAGCTTCCACACCCTCCATTGACTTGAGAAATCAACTGGCTCAGGCATTACAGACAGAATTGCGACGGATCCCCAGTCACGTGATGTAAGTATGTCGATTTGACCATAAAATCGACAATGTATGCACCCCACACCCCACCCGGCAACCCTTAGGTGAAGAACGGTCGGGGATTAGCTGATGTTGCTTATTGCAGCTGAACTGACCCGGGACCGGTATTCCTAGACATAAACAAGTCTTTAAGGTAAAAATTAGTAGTTTAAATGATAATTTCTAAAACATAATAAATAACAGACAGGGTCCTTAGACGTGCACTAGTTTCTAAGGAAACATTTAATAGTTTAAACGGTAATTTCTAAAAACTAATAAATAACAGACTGGGGTCTGCTTATTGGACTGGCCTCTTCCAAGGATAGAATCACTATACATCCATGGGCTCAGCATTCAGTACAGCATTGGAGGAAGGCTAAGGTCTTCCTCACAAATCAGATACGTCAACAGAACAAAAAGTATTATCATCAACATAGAAGATATGTACGTACATGATATAATCTAGGTATGAGAATCCTCTACTATCGAATTATTGACTTTAGTAACCATGCTTTCTCGAGTAATCTACAATAGTTACAGTACAACCAGAAATTATTAAAATTTAAAGATTATAATTTTTAATATTTTTTCACTCATTACTCACGTATCAAATGTGAATATTAGCAGAACATAACTCCAGATTCAAAGACAGGTGAACAGTTAGTATTTTGTCAAGTCACCATGGGTAGCAATGCAGGCTTCAATGCGGCGGGGCATACTACTGATCAAAGAAGTTAGAAAGTTGTGGTCCATGCTGTCCCAATATCGGACCACCTCTTCTTTCATTTCAGCAATATTTGTCAGATTTTTCTTATTGACACTTTCCTTCATAAGTCCCCAAACATTTTCTATTGGAATTAGGTGAGGGCTATAGCTTGGCCAATCTATAATGTCATATTTTGGGTCCGAAACCAGGCCTGTGAATGCTTTGAACGATGTTTTGGGTCGTTGTCCTGCTGGAAATTCTTTTCTTTCCATAGCACACGTGAGCAGATGGAAGTAAACGTCCCTCGAGAATATCTGTGTACCGCTCACTGTTCATATTCCCTTCAAATACACAGATATGCCATGCCCCCACACGTAAAATTTCGGACTGTACTTTGGGCCCTGATACAAAGGTTTTCAGTTTGTTTGGTCCAGAATTTTAGTGTATTAGGAAACAGCCACACTGAACTTTCATCTGACAAAATCACATTGTCCCAGTTAAAATTTCTATGCTGTAAGCACCAGTTCAACCTTCGCCCTTTTGTTCAGGTTTCATGATCGGTGATGGAATTCCTGGACTTTTCTGCCAATGGTCATACTATATATGTTTGTTTTACGTAAACTGTCATTAATAATGACAGATCGTTGTATTTTCTACGTAGGTGAAAGTATTTTCTATGTAGATGTAAGTATCATCTATACTTAGATCTGTGTATCATCTGAGAGATGTAAGTATCATCTATGTAGATGTAAGTGTCATCTATACTTAGATCTGTGTATCATCTACTGAGATTAGATCTATATCATCTTAGATCTGTGTATCATCTACTGAGATGTAAGTATCATCTACTGAAATGTAAGTATCATCTGTGTCATCTGTGTATCATCTACTGAGATGTAAGTATCATACGTAGATGTATCATCATCTTCTGTGTATACTGAGATCTGTGTATATACATACTTCAGATCTGTGTATCATACTGAGATGTAAGTATCATCTATACTTAGATCTGTGTATCATGTATCATCTACTGAGATGTAAGTATCATCTATACTTAGATCTGTGTATCATCTATCTACTGAGATGTAAGTGTATCATACTTAGACTGAGATGTAGAGTATCATCTACTGATGTAAGTAGATCTATGTAGATCATCATCTATACTTAGATCTGTGTATCATCTACTGATGATCATACTGAGTATGTGAGATGTAAGTATCATCTATATAGATCTTAGTATCATCTATACTTAATTTAGATCTGTGTATCATCTACTGAGATGTAAGTATCATCTATACTTAGATCTTAGATCTGTGTATCATCTCACTGAGATGTAAGTATCATCTACTGAGTGTATCATACTTAGATCTGTATCATCTACTGAGATGTAAGTATCATCTGTAGATGTAAGTATCATCTATACTTAGATCTGTGTATCATCTACTGAGATGTAAGTATCATCTACGTAGATGTATGTATCATCTATACTTAGATCTGTGTATCATCTACTGAGATGTAAGTATCATCTATCATCTATACTTAGATGTGTGTATCATCTATACTTAGATAGATCTGTGTATCATCTACTGAGATGTAAGTATCATCTATGAGATGTAAGTATCAGATGTAAGTATCATCTATACTTAGATCTGTGTATCATCTACTGAGATGTAAGTATCATCTATGTAGACTGTCATCTATACTTAGATCTGTGTATCATCTACTGAGATGTAAGTATCATCTACTGAGATGTAAGTATCATCTATATACTTAGATCTGTGTCTCATCTACTGAGATGTAAGTATCATCTACGTAGATGTATGTATCATCTATACTTAGATCTGTGTATCATCTACTGAGATGTAAGTATCATCTATACTTAGATCTGTGTATCATCTACTGAGATGTAAGTATCATCTATACTTAGATCTGTGTATCATCTACTGAGATGTAAGTATCATCTACTGAGATGTAAGTATCATACTGTATTACGTAGATGAAAGTATCATCTACTGAGATGTAAGTATCATCTATACTTAGATCTGTGTATCATCTACTGAGATGTAAGTATCATCTCTACTTAGATCTGTGTATCATCTACTGGGATGTAAGTATCATCTACTGAGATGTAAGTATCATTTACGTAGATGTATGTATCATTTATGGAGATGATACATACATGTATGTAGAAAAGAAGATACATATATCTACGTAGAAGATACTTACATCCACGTAGACGATTCAACAATGACAGTTTTAGACTGTGGCACTAATGCGTACCCTACCATATAGCTGTCATTATTGTTCTATATTTCCTGAAACATTCATGTATTCATAGTACACCAGTAGTAACTGTTATAAATATTGTCTGTATGTAACAGATGACGTTCTAACGGACTCAACAGATATGTTCCCACAGAAGAACTCTCTTGCCAACCACTTTCTTTGCATAAACGAACTTTCGAAAAGACATAAATATTATTTAGATTTGGGGCGGTCCGGTCCTACTGATAAGGTACGCATGGCTTAAATCCATCAACACCTCAATCGTCCTGCTCCCTCGCGTCGGACGTAGCCGAACCAACTATACAGTTCCACCGTGGATACACTCGATAAGGGCAAATTCAGAAAACTTATTAGCCCTGGTAAAGAATATGTACTTTAAAATTGTATTGGGACCTTAAGCCGCTAAAGGGAGCAGCGCAACAAGTCAGCAGGACGATAAAGGCGGAATCTTTGTCAGTTCAGTACAATTTCGGCAAGATCCACAAGGATTCACGTACATTTCACCTTCGGAGAAATATCAAGGTCAGAGGTTGTGTTAGACAAGTATTGACATTGCATACTGATAGTCATTCGGACGGTGTGATACAGACTATGCCTACGGATGCAGTACTGGGTGATGAAGAGGGCGTGGGTGATGGGTGAGTGATGAGTTTATTCTGGCTACAAATATGTTTTCTTTCGAAATCAAATATTGCTGTCTTCGAAGTTTTTCTTTTGTCTGGAATATACGACGAGAAGCACGTGCCGCGGACACCATGTGAGATATCATTGGTTGTTTTGATTAATGTATCCCCACTCGACATGTTCTTCATGACAATGATTGACAGGTGCACATAAAAGTTCGTCTTCACTTTTTCCCCAAATCAAATATGTAAAAAGATTTCATAATAAAATGGGTATCATAATAACATGTAATTCAAAATATGTCGCGTTAATAAATAAATAAATAAATGCAATTCAAAATATGTAGCGTTTATGTAAATAAATAAACACTTAATTAATAAATATCAATATGATGCTAATGATCAGATGATTTGATAAGAAATTATACCAGAAGCTACAGTACAATACTAATGAGATCAATATTTGATAGAAATATGACGTTCTTTGGTAAAACAGACATACAAGGACTGACTGACTGACTGAGTTTAGTTTTACGCCGCTTTTAGCAATATTCCAGCAATATCACGGCGGGGACACCAGAAATGGGCTTAACACATTGTGCCCATGTGGGGACATACAAGGAGACCCTCGTTGTAGTAAAATGTGTTTGGTTGATATTGTACTGTGATGTTTTAAATCGTCCCTCAGATTATCCAAAGTTCATATGAACGTGCAAGATCGTGCTTTCTATTTTTGCTTCAATGTGTAAAATTTCAAACATTGGTTCAGAACATTGGCTTAGTTGACAAACCTGTGGCTGTTCTTGGTACTTGTCTATTTATGCGGAAATGGAAAGGTTCTTGAATGCTTCACGATACAGTCACAGTCGAGCATTTAATCCGGGCAGCACGGTTTACAGTAGTCCGGATCAACAGGTTACCTGATTAACCGGTCGAGTGTTAATGTGGATGATCTTCTCAGTGCGTATACAAACGTCTTTATTTGGTTAGAAGGTATTTTACTAATATGAACACCTTTAGGCATCATATTACTGACTGACTGACTGAGTTTGGTTTTACGCCGCTTTTAGCAATATTCCAGCAACATCACGGCGGGGACACCAGAAATGGGCTTCACACATTGTACCCATGGGGATTCGAACCCGGGTCTTCGGCGTGACGAGCCAACGCTTTAGCCACTAGGCTACCCCACCGCCCCCATTATATTACAGGGGCGGATTTAGAGATTGGGTGCTGGGTTGCCACAGACACACACTTAAGCGCGCGCGCACGCACGCACGCACGCACGCACGCACGCACGCACACACACACACACACACACCTCCAAAATCATCCTGTATTATCATACTCAAGAAGGGCGGTGGGTAGCCTAGTGGTTAAAGCGTTTGCTCGTCACGCCGAAGATCCGGGTTCGATTCCCCACATGGGTACAATGTGTGAAGCCCATTTCTGGTGTCCCCGCCGTGATATTACTGGAATATTGCTAAAGCGGCGTAAAACCAAACTCACTAACTCAATAATACTCGAGACAGAACGTCAGGCTTCCTCTAGTCTCTCACAGTCCATGAACCGCAATATTTTCTGCTTTGCCCTTTCTACAATGCTAAAATCCAAAATGAAGCAAGTTTAGATTTCCTCTGGTTCTGAATCTCCCATGTCACTGGGGCTCCTCTTCAATATAAATGGGATAATTTGTTACTATAAAATATGTATATTCAGAGACTACGTGTTAGTCTAGGCTTCCAGTTGCAAGGTCTTGATGCCTGCCCTGCCCTGCACACTCTCCCGTGGTCTGCACTGTCCCACGAGACTTGAGAACCGCCGTATAATGGGGTTATTAATGGCTTCTCTCTGTATAACGAGGAATGCAGGATTAATGTAGCCTGACCCATCATACACCTCAGCGTTCACAACAGCCTCTTTGGCTTTCCTTTCCATACTTACAGACACTTCTTTTTTAATTTTTGCACCTTATTTAAATCTGCGTATTGTGAGTGGTAATTACAAGATATCTGGATGGGTTGGAAATTGAACGAGTGGCAAAATGGTTAACGTGAGAAAATGAATATAGAAAAATCACCAAAGTTAAGTATTTCATGATATTTGAATATTTCCGTAAAACCAGTGTATGAAATAAACCAAAACCCAGCCAGACATCGGGGCTGGTAACAAAGAGTTTGAAAGGCATTTAGAACTTGGACGAACATAAATACAGTTCAAAATGTTACCAGCCTAAAATGGAATTAACCTGAGCAAATAATCCAAAGAAAATAACTCAATTTTAGTTATAATGAATAATTCAATGAACCTGTGACATGTATTTACTATCTAACAGTCTATTCACAACAATCATTTTCAGAGAATATATAATTATGGATATGGTGAATTTACAGAGATATGGTGAATTTACTCAGATGTATGGACAATATTATCTAACATTTTTACCAGACCATCGGCCTGGCATGTAGACTAACGCTTATATTTGGACAAAGTTTTACCAGTATTTTATAACGGTATGCGTTATTAAAAATTACGATTGTTACAGACTAACTGATCAGTTCCTGAATCTTAAACCGCCAAGGGTCACATTGATAACGAGCATCGGAAATAATACGGGACCAGTATCTTTTAAGCTAACAGAACCAAGGTGCATCACGTTTATCGGTATTGTATGTTTATATCCCATGGTCAAATCCCGTGCCACATATACCTTTGTGGCATACTCGCGACTTGTCATCGATGATTTGGTCCAACTAAATGACATAATCTCAAGTCCACAATAACAACGTTATCGTAAGTTTTATCTGTAAACACGATTATCTGAGATAGCTAGAATAAATATATAATACTGATGATAGTCACAAAACAGTGTATAGTGTTAATCAGTATTAAATAAACTATCATAAACAGTAATACAGAATATATGAGACATATAATAAAGGATATCTTCAAATCTTTGAAGGGCATAAGAAAAGCAAGGATGTCTTGTTCCACATCAACCTGAAGGTAGTACCAAGGGTAACAAGCAGTAAAGAGATGTCCTATAAGATTAAAGTTAGCACAGAATAGCAATGGTAAAGATTTATCAAATTTGAAGAAAGTAAAATTACATACCTGAGTGAATTTACTAGGCAGACACCGCAGGATTTGTGACTGTCATCCGTATTATATAATACGCCCGTGCATTAATTAAGCACCTCCCTATTTTGTAAATAAGATGTGATGCTACAGAAAAGTTAGGGTACAGCCATCAATTTAATCAACCTGTAGTTAAAGAAGCTTTATCCACTGACAGTTTTGAAAATACCATAACCTTTTCTATTCTTTATGAAAGAATATGTTGATGAAAATGTGATGGACTGAATTTTTTCCCAAAATAATTATTTCTCTCCTGCCCAAACTAAACAATTAAATTAAGTTTTGACTAAAAACAACAGTTCTGTTATATACCAAGATGGCATTTACACATCAAGTAAGCTTTAATTATGCATAATCAGGAACAACCCGAATGTCAAAGATTCAGACCTTTTTCCAACAATTCAGATTGCTAATTGACAAAAACTGAAAAAGGCCACATTAATAAGATTTTGGAGTAATATTTTATGATTTTGAGTTTATTGTAATGAATAAACACTTCTCCTTGCCGGATACTGATAATTACAACTAAAATATGTTTGTTTTGTTTGTAAAGCAACTTTTACTGCATTTTAAAATTTTCTTTTTTTTTAGTTTGACTGTAACTTTTCCTCAATCTTACTTTACAAACTTTCATCCATTCACAATAAATAACGAATTCATAGGCCACATAACAATCAATTATTCCTTTCACTTTTCAAAATAAGGTAACTTGTTTTAGGACAGAAAAACACCTGTTTTAAATATAGACAATTATCCTAATTAAAGTACATGGTAATTTCAATAATGTTTTCGTTTTGAAATGTTCAATGCTGGCTCTATCAAATTATAAAGGTTATTTTTTTTAAAGAGTTTAGAATATCATTTCAGACAAAAATAATTGGTAAAAATACAGTGTGGTGCCTATTTTATGCACAGATGTATATTTATTCTAGCTATCGTAAATAATCGCGTTTAAAGATAAAACTTACGATCACGTTGTTATTGTGGACTTGACATTATGTCATTTAGTTTGAACGAGACGGACTAGCTGGCTAGCTGTATATTTGGACCGTTCGTCATAAATCTAGGACGTCTCTGTCGGTCGGACGGGCCTTTTTTCATATACTGATAAAACACATTTTTTCTTAGCCAAATCGCAGATGTGAAGTAACCATTAGATCTAAATAACAGCGATTTTGGAAAAGCAGCTTTAGGTATCTCATGAAGTTTCGGCCCCTTACGACAGGAAACGATACTGGTCTTGGCGCTAAACAACCGCCATTTGTTCTACCGTGGAGAAACAGAAGGCCTGTCAAGTATGAGCCAGGAGCCACAAAGGTGCCCTTCAGGGGGCAATTAAACGCCTCTGTGAAAACAAAGCACAAGCACTGTTGATAAGGATACTGTATTGCTTATATCTGATACAGGATATGAAGTCTGGGATGGATGTCGCCCATCTATCATCACCCCACCCTCCCATCTGATCGTATGTTGAACATAGGCTGGTATGTTCCACCCGTTCAAATAACCAATTAATTTCCAACCTTTGTAACTGACAGTCTATTTTATAGTGTCAAATATTCCATAGTCTGTCATACAGACCTTGAACCAAATATACCCAAGCACATGCAAGTCTGGAATATGTGGCAGGTCTGAATTACCAGTTTCAGGTAAACAAATGTGCGTTTAGATCGCTGCAACCGAGCCTGAGGCGTGAATGGATGATCTGACAGAATCTTGATCCATTAAAGCCGTTAATATAACAGTCCCGCGCCGATATTGCTGGAATATTGCTGGAATATTGCTAAAAGCGGCGTAAAACTCACTCACTCACTGTTAATAAACATTTTTAAGGAACATGCCGTCTCTGCAGTGCTAAAGCCCTAAATAAAGCAAGTCTAGATTTCCTCAGGTTCTGAATCTCTGGTGTCCCTGGGTCTCTTTTTCAATTTACATGGGCTTGTTTGTTACTATCAAACTTATATATATTTAGAGACTAAGCATTAGTCTATCACCAACTGTGAGAGGCTGGAGGAGGTGTCCCTGTCACAGTCTGTCCTGCTGCAAAAGCTTTAAAAACATTATTCTTCAGGTTGAGGGCGTTGGGGTAGCCTGATGGTTAAAGCGTTTCTCACGCCGAAGCCCTCCCTGTAAAATGCAAAAGCTTTAAATGAAATTGCTAAAAGTCTAGATTTCTTCAGGTTCAGGATCTCTGGTCTGTGGTCTCCCTGGGTCTCCTTTTCAATTCTAATGGGTTTATTTGTTACATATTCCGAGACTAAGCGTTAGTCCAGGCTGGGGGCAACATGACCCTTTATCAATAATTATAAGTTGCAGAAGAATGTAGTTTTGTAGTTTGTTCAGAGACCATATAATAGGGATGCTGACTGCTGACTGGCTGCTGAAAGGTTGTAACTGTCGGTTTAAAATAATCTTGGATTTGTACCACAATAGACGAAGGTTTAGTTTCTATAATATAATAGTAACAAATATATCCATTTAAATTGAGCCCTATAGTCTTCTCACAGTCTCTGAACCACATTATTTTCCCTACAGCCTAGCCATCCCTGCATGCTAAAGCCCTATATGAAGCAATTTAAGTCTAGATCTCCCAGGGCATCCTTTTCAATTTAAAAGGGTTAATTTGTTAGGGTTTATTTGTTACAATCAAAATGTCTAAGCGTTAGTCTGTCAGACCTAGACTAAGGCTTAGTCTCTGAATATATATAATTTTGATAGTAACAACAAGCCAATTTATATTGAAAAGGAGCCCTAGGGAGACCAGAGATTCAGAACCTGAGGAAATCTAGACTTGCTTTATTTAGGGCTTTAGCACTGCAGAGAGGGCTTGGCAGTAGGGAAATTAATGTGGTTCAGGGACTGTGAGACAGACTATGTCAGACCCTGTGAGATGTGAGATTCAGGACTGATAGCATCTGCATTGGGGCTGTACGTGCTGGGGTCATTATCAATTAGAAGTCACATCATACAACCATCAGATAACGGTATAAGTGACAGGCATATTTACTGGTCCTCGTGCTATGCCCTGCCCCATCTCCATGAACTTGCCACCAAATTCAAAAGTTTCCATTTGTATAATATGTGGAGAGGATATTTTGTATAATGTGTGGAGAGGATATAGATAAAAACTTTTTTGAGAAAAACTGTTCAATGGAAGTGAAAAGACCAGTGTGAGATACTGAAAACAGAACGGAGTTTATACAATAATCCTATACCAGGAATCAAAAGAAATAATCCTTTTGTTTGTAGTTGCAATTAATAAAACGTTAACGTTAATTATGATCTATTCCGTGCTGGTTTAAGAGATAACCCAAGTTGTTCTTGTGGAAATGTTTGTGAAAATTCTTATCATTACTTATTTGACTGTCAATTATATACAGTACAGAGAACTACCATGATGACTAATTTACGCAGTATTACAAATGTGGATATAACCTATGAGTTACTATTACATGGCAATGCAGATCTGACTGTTCACATAAATCAAAACATATTTAAAATTGTTCAAACATATATTTGTCATTCAAAACGATTTTCTTAATTGTTGCAATTGTTCCCCTTTTTCCCATATTTCTGCTCTGTTCTTCTCTGTCCATCTTGAATGAATGTAAATAATACTATGTAAATACTACGGAGAGGGTGTTCTAAGTTGTATAACTTGTACCCAATCCTTTTCTCATGAATAAAATATGTTTAAAACAAACAAAACGTTAACCACAGTCACAATGGAGCTGCCATACTGAATACTGAGGAAATTCTAGACTTGCTTCATTTAGAGCTTCAGCATTGCAGACAGGGTTAGGCATAGCCTTGCTCCAAGGCTGTACTGAACGCTGAGCCCATGAGTGTATAGTAATTCTATCCTACGAAGAGGCAAGAACCCCAGTCTATTTTTTATTATTTTTTTTAGAAATTATCATTTAAACTATTAATTTTTATACCTCAGAGACTTGTGTAAGTCTAGGTAAGGCAGTAGGGGAAATAATGTGGTTGAGGGTCCGTGAGACAGACTATATCCATAATCACAGGTTTCTAGAGGCGCATGTCTTCGCCGCTACTAATATGCCAGTTCATCAGCGGTGAAAGGTAACTTAGCTTCCTGTAAAGTGGTGTAAATGTTCATGACGGGGAAATCATAATGTGAGTTAAAATTCTTATTTTCTCCCGGAATCACTCGTCTTCATGTCATCTGAAATGATGATGCGCCTTTGGGGTTTCTGTATTTCAAATATATAGAGTGCGGCGGTGGGGTAGCCTAGTGGTTAAAGCGTGGGCTTGTCACGCCGTAGACCCGGGTTCGGATCCCTACGTGGGTACAATGTGTGAAGCCCATTTCTGGTGTCCCCCGCCGTGGGGAATATTGCTAAAAGCGGCGTAAAACCAAACTCAGTCAGTCAAATGTACTCATGCCAATAATGGTTGTCACCCCCTTAATTTTTTTTAATTGGAGAGGGGGTGTGGGGTGGGTGTGTCAGGTGTGTGTGGGGTTGGGGTTGGGAGGGGGGTGACAACCATTATTGGCATGAGTATATATAGAGTCAAAGCTTTAGCAAAAGCAATTCGATATCAGAACATATTGTTCCTGTTATATTATTAGTTTCAGATACTATTTATTTTGATTATAATTACATTGCATCAAAATTCTTTCAAGTTATATAATGGGGATTATTGTGGTTTTGTGTTTTTATAACTCCATAAAATCAAAAGAAATATTGTTGTTTTTTGTTGTTGTTGTTGTTGCTTAACGCCGCACCCAGCAATATTATATGGGTGCGGTCTGTAAATAATCGAGTCTCGATCAGATAATCCTGTGATCAACAGCATGAAGAAAGATTCTTGGAAGTTTGGACAATCCTGAAAAAATCCAAGCTTTGCCTGGAAATGATAAATTGGAAAGTGTACTCAAAATCCCCATAGGGAGTACACACTGTTGTATGGATTATGCAATTTTGTTTGAAATTTTTGAAAGGCATTTATAAGTTGGACGAACATGAATACATGACATTTTTATTTTTTATACTTTCTTATTCTTGCTCCTTTATCAGGTAATCATCAGAAAGAATTAGCTCTGAAACGCCGTATAAAGAATAAAAATGTTATTATCCATAAAACGTGTCATGTACTCGTATTTTGTTTGTGTTTGACCTGTCCTTCACAACCTCAATCGGGAAGGGAGCGGAAGACAATTTTTTTTAATTCCATATTTTCCAGTAACACGTATTCCTATGTGAATTGAATTATTTTGTGTTTCTTTTTTCAGTTTGACGAAAGACGGCAATGCTTTAAATACCAAGACTAGTCCCACAAAGACAGCCCGCCGATGTGGCGGGAAGCGGAGTATACTCATTGCAGTGGTAGTTCTCTTAGTCTGCGTCCTTGCTCTTGGCCTCAGTTTGGGTTTGGCACTGAAGTCGGGTCAAGGTCAGCGGTTGGCAATCGGAGCAGTTGCAGCAGATCACCCAGCATGTTCCCGAGTAGGCAGGTAGGCAGGAGTCTTCGTCATTTTTTGTCACTCTTCGTCACTCTTCGTCACTCTTCGTGAGACATCATGAGGTGAATGCTGATCATGTTAGCTCCATGGAACATGAATATCATATATGTTTTAATAGTAGTTGACATTGTTTTTCTTTGCTGTCTTCAATTCTACAGACAATTTTTGCTGTACGGAGAATTTCCACTAGCTTAATTAAGGTTTGGGAACGACTCCTGGAATGAAGGTGTTCCTTTAGTAAATATCTTGAAGTCAGCTTCGGGTCAATCAAAATTTGGATTTTTGATGAAATAAATTGTATGAGGGACTTATATTCAGCCAGACATTTTTACACTTTGACCAATGAATGTTCTGAGAACTTAATTCCATTTCTAAACCACACCTACGCCTGCTGTCACTTCAGAGATATTTTGAAAGAAGGTGGGTCTGCAGTAGATGCCGCTATTGCTTCACTGTTGTGTGATGGAGTCCGGCAGCCCCACAGCATGGGAATAGGAGGAGGTGAGGCACTTTATATACTGTAAATCGTAAATATTGTAACAGGTTGGTAAGAATAGGATGATGTGAGACACGTATTATATTAGCTTAATAATATTACAGGAAGAGAAGGTGAGGCGCGGGATGTGGTGTAAATCGTAAGAGATATATGTAATGTTCTGTAAAACGTAAATGACGATTTGAGGGTGATTTTCTTAGGTGTTATTTCAACGCAGGATTAATTGGTGACAATACACATCCGGCAGACTCGTCGCCATGCGCCGGATTAGACAGCGCTGATTATTGTAGAAACACATATAAGGCCGGCTCAATTCAAGCCGAAAGTGAGATGGCATGGAAACAGGTAAGGTACGTGGTGTATCCACTGGACGTAAGAAACTGTAAGATAAACTAGTAACAGTAAAACAAACGGTTATGCCAGTATGTCCTAGAATTCTGCTCTTAAACAATGTATGGAACACCTTATTCAGCATCTTTCTTTCACCTTTCATTTCAGGGTGCTTCATCATGATATATCAAAAATCGCCCCGCAAAGCGGAATTCATCAACGGTCGAGAGTTCGCTCCCTTGGCAGCCTCTCTCTAGATAAGTTCATCAACAAGTCGTTCCGACAAGGTCAGTACTTGAGTTGGACATAATGTCCATGTGTATAGAAGGGAGACTACTTTTCATAGTGTCATCCTTCATGTACGCTGGAGATCTGGACCGACGATCCTGTCTTTCCTTTTAAACATAAATAGAATTATCCGAAAAATACTGAAATAAATTATTTGCTCTCACTTTTCATGAGAAAAAAGTCAATGTTTGACAAACGCCCGCCGCCCCTGCCTAATGTTAAATAGCCACCCTATTGCTTCTGTACTCAAGGGTCGATTGAGTTCAGTTAGTTTCTGATAAATTAATATATCGATTAAAACAGTTACAGCACGGTATGTCAGGAGAGAATGGCACATGTTTCACTTTGTATACCGACGGAGTTCAATGATACGGAGTTCACAGACAACAAAATCATAATCGACAAGGCGAATATAAATTCGAACATGGGATCAGCGTGTTCTGGATCGGGCAAGGGAGGCAACTCAGCACTGTGTTCAATATCTAAAAGTCAGCATACGTTTGCAGGTCCCTTGTCAATCGCAGTCCCAGCGGAAGTGATGGCGTATTGGGACGCGCATCAGAAGTATGGTAAGCTACCCTGGGCCACGCTGTTTGAACCTGCCATCAAGATGGCGAGAGACGGCCACCCCCTGTCCAACTCGTCTGCGAGGGCACTACAGCTGATGACCAAGAGATTTAACGTGTCTTTGAAGGCGGAGTTTCCACAGCTCTGGTAGGCCGTAAATATTTGATCATTCATTTCACTCTGTAAACACCTTGGCGGTATTTCTGCAGTACTTCGTGCATAACAGCCAAAGCGAAACGAGGAGTGGATGGGTTTGATATATATATTCCATCAAAGTGAGTGAGTTTAGTTTTACGCCGCTTTTAGCAAAATTCCATCAATATCAGTCAGAGGACACTAGAAATGGGCTTAGCAGATTGTACCCATGTTTTCGGGGTCTTGAGCGAACGCTTTAACCACATTGGCTACCTCCCGCCTCTCCATCATACCATGCATGGTATTAACCAATCAAACATATGTATGAAAGGTTTGGATTGGGCGAGTTGTTTAAAGTGTCAGTTTAAGTGTCATAAGAGTTCTATACTATACGTGTTAGGATCTGCCAGATGAAAGAGAATTTTATGTGCTTATGTGATCTTATTCGATATTACTGTCTGAACAGTCATTAAGCAGAACTTCATGTCGTGACTGTAAACGTCCAGAGTGAATCCTTCAACGAAACTCCATCCACGTCAATACAAGGAGCGGTGGGGTAGCCAGGTGGTTAATGCTTTCGCTCGTCACGCCAAAGACCAGGGTTCGATTCCCCACATGGGTAGAATGTGTGAATTGAATCCCATTTCTGCTGTCCCTTGACGTGATATTGCGGGAATATTGCTGTAAGCGGCACAAAACCATACTTACTCACTCTTGGTCAGTGTAGCCGAAACAACGCTTATGGTTCACTTTTTCAGTTAGTCCTATTGAAAACTATTACTTCACTCTTTCAGCAAGTCCTATTGTAATGAGCGCGGTGGCCTGAAGCTGGAAGGTGATGAAGTGAAGTTACCTGCCCTTGCTAAAACGTTGAGTGGTATTGCCAAGCACGGTCCCGACTATCTGTACAAGGGGGAGGTTGCTGATCGCTTGCTGCAGGAAATCAAACAGTTTGGTACATCCACTTTTACTGTTAAGCTGTTTATTCAGAAGTAAATAAGGCCACCGGCCGGTTTTACATGTACAGGCAAAGTACCAATAGCGTTACTTTATTGAGCACCAGTTGTAATGAATAAATATATGTAGTTATAATGAATACATAATTTATTATACTGAACCACAAAAGAAATGTCGCACTGATAGGGGTTTCTTAAAGCACACACTTTAATCCACTCTAATTAACAATCAAAACAAAGGATTGAGTTCAAACTTGACAATTATGGTTAACACATTTTCGGGAAAGTCATTATCGTGTGTGGCCTCTATGGGCATCGAAGAAATCTTTGCGTCGTCTGCAAATGGAATGAATTAGCCGGTCAATGAAGGTCATACGCACTTGGGTCCATACTCTGCGAAATGCCTGAACGAGTCTAGCCTTTGGTTGGAGGTCATTCAGTCTTCTTTGAATCTCGTCCCAAAGATGTTCTACTGGACTTAAATTCGGACTGAGTGCAAGATTCTGTAGGGTTTGGATGCCATGCTATCTTAGGAAGTCCGATGTTGCTCTAGCAGTGTGGGCACGACCATTGTCTTGCTGGAAGATGTGATTTCTGCAACGTCCAAAATGTGATACGACTTTGCTTGAACATGCTTAGAAAATGATTAACATTTTGAACACCCTGTTCTATCCAAGAAAAACAAAACAAAATTTTTGACCTTGAGAGCCTAACAATTAATTCAATTTCCTGCCAGCTTATATTGGAAAAAGTAAATATGTTTTAAGATAACATTATCGTGTTGGTATACTGATCTAAGCCAGTAACTGATTATCTTGACATGCTGATTCACCTTAACAGAATAACGACCCAGTTCGCCTCTAGCCACAATATTGGGTACAGTCCTACCCAGGTGTAAAATGTCCTTGAACTCGAATAACATTCAGCGAGGGGTGAAAACCCCAGACTTCACTACCATATAATAGGATTGGCATAATTTTGACATAAAAAATGTGCATCAAAATCCGAGATGAAAGATGCATTAAGTTTGGGATTCGAGACATTAGGATCGTCAAAACCTTCATAGCCTGCTCTGACAATGTCTTTTGACTTTTACTGTTGTTAATAACACAGAACTACAACTTGATGACGTGATGACTGGGTTAGTTAGTGAGTGAGTGAGTTAGTGAGTGAGTGAGTGAGTGAGTGAGTGAGTGAGTGAGTGAGTGAGTGAGTGCGCAATACCCGTTTATAATTGTAATATTCCGGAATATTTCAATATTACCGTTTCTTTCAACTAACATTCTCTAATGTCGCATAACGTCCTATTTCCAGGTGGACTTGTGACAAAAGCCGACTTCGAGGGGAACTTGACCAGACATGAGCGTCCCCTGGAGTATCAGTATGGCGACCTGACCATGTATGTCCCAGGAGCACCTAGCGGGGGGCCAGTGATGGGGCTCATCCTGGAGATACTGGAAGGTAGCGTAGCCTATACTGATATTAAATTTGTCTGTCTGATCTCATCCCAAAGATACTGGACGGTTGTCTATCCTATAGTAATATCACACTGGTCAAAGGGGTTTCATCCCCGTACCCTACAGGGTGGTTAGCTTCATGATGCCTACTCATGTATCTAACCCAACTGAGGGGTGCTTGCAGTTGGTTTGTCTTGAAGTTTAAAGTGTTTGGTTGTCCTAGTAGTATGGTAGCAGCACATTTCCGAGGTGACGTAACGTGACGCAACCTCGAAAATATGCTGCTACACTGACGTCATACACGTATGACGTCACGACGATAGGTCCCGTGACGTCACTTGATGGTGACGCAACCTCGAAAATATGCTGCTACACTGACGTCACGCCCTACAACGACGGTATTGACGTCACGTGGTCATTCAACCGTCACAAATAAGGGAATGGTCATCTAATACGTGTTCGTGCATGTACGTGTGTGTGTGTGCGCGCGCATGTGACATCTACTAATGACGTCACACAAACAAAAATGGAGACCATAAGAATCCATCCGTCAAGCTAAATTCTCAATTGCTCTCAGACGCGTTTTTACCTCATAAATGCACCATTAGCGTGCCAATAATATTTGAGTTTTTGAAGGAGGCTAGGGAATCTCGTGCTGTCTATGTAAAGCTCTCTACAATACTAGACCGCAAGAAACACCTAAACACTCTTAATCACACGACCACCCCGTCTGTGTAAAGCTCTCTTCAATACAAGACGGTAAGACGGTGATATTCTACATGAAACAAAATGTGAGGTAGAAAACGGCAAAACAGCAAGAGTGGTACCGAGTGTTACGTTCTTTACCTCGTATCGTAAACCCAAAGCGGGAACGAATAATAATTTTGAAGGAGGTCTGTAAATGTCGTACTGCCAATGTAAAGCTCTCTACAATACTAGGCAGCAAAACAAATGTAACAAGACACTCAAAAATAACACACCCTCCAGTTTATGTAAAGCTCTCTACAATACAACACGGGAAGGCGGTTATATTCTACCAAATACAACAAAGAAGATATTGAGTCGGACAGTCTATGTAAAGCTCTCTACAATACTAGACCGCGCGAGCACCGTATCCCTCGTTGTTTAACCACCCCAAAATATACCCACGAGGTAGACAACGTCAACACTTTTATATAAAACACAACGGAGACTAGTAAAAACAACATTTCACAAATTTTATTCGTAAATATGCACAACTACATTTCTACTCACAAAACAGTTGGGAGACCATATTTCCCGTCCACCGACAAGGTGTCTTCGTTTCCAGATACTTTTCCCTTCTTATTGAAGAAAAAGTTTACATCTTTCTCCATCCCTCTGTGATGACGTAGCAGCAGGACATCGTGGTTTTCACCTTCTTATTGAAGAAAAAGTTTACATCGTGCGTTTCTCCATACCCCTCATATTGCTCACTTTTAACGCAATGTATATAACGATTCATTATAGGGAACGTAGCAGCAGGACATCGTGGTACGGAGCACTCAAAATATACAACCTCACTCTCAGACGGCTTCTAACTCGCAAGCATTCAAATATTTCAAGAAATGATTGTTCAAATCGGTGCCCAGTGGTTTCATTAGAAAGGTCTACCTCGGTACGCTTATAAAACTTTCAGCAATATTCCAGCAATATCACAACTGGGGACACCACACGTGGGCTTCACACGTTGTAGCTATGTAGAAAAAGTTTAGAGTGCATGGGAACCAGTTTAACAGAGAACACAGAGAAATAGACGTGTACCGACCTAGGCAAAAGTGAATAGAATGGATTGCCATAACGCTCAGAGTTGCGTTTCGGGGAATGAAATGCTGAACAGACGACGGTCGTGGAAGCTGCAACTCCGACCACGACCGACATGTGTCGTAATTTTGGAACAGTGTGTCATGCCTTTGGCGTGATTATACGTTCTCCCCATACTTTTTTTGGTAGTAAAATCTATGGAACGGGTCCGCGACTAATGACACGGTTTTGGGAGGGTCTGTCATACTTTTGGAACAGTGTGTGTCATTATTAGAACAGCGTGTCATACTTTTGAAACGAGTCGTCATACATTTGGAGCAGTTAGTCGTACACTGGGAAGGACGTGTGACACTTTTAGAATAGTGTGTCGTAATTTTGGAACAGTGTGTCATGCCTTTGAGTGTGGTTATACTTCCTCCCGACATTTTTCAGTAGTAAAATCTACGGACACTCGAAAACAACACAAAAACAGTAATACGTGTTTTAACAAAGACGCTGCATCAGTTTCACGGTAACGCTTTGATAAGATTATTTATACGCGCAATGTTAGCGGTTAATTTACACCATTCCTCCGTGGAGATAGATATACCTAAAATTGTCTCTTTGCCAGATATAAATTGCTTGATATCTACGATGGGTAAATTTTCTTTCAAACAAACGGAAACACGGTTTGATCGCCCCTGTCCCCTCCCCAATATATAGCAGGGTTCAGCCATTCAAAGGTATGACGCAGTGTCCCAAACGTACGACAATCCGTGCCAGAAGTATGACAGATCCTCCCAAAAGTGAAACTTTAGCCTCGTACAATTCTCACAGATTTGACTACTAAAATGATGGGAGAATGTATAACCACGCCCAAAGTATGACACGTTGTTCCAAAAGTATGACGCACCCTTATGAAAATATGATAAACTGTTTTCAAAGTATGACACACCGTATCAAGAGTATGGTAGGCCATTCCAAAAGTATCACCGGCCCTTATAAAAATACGATACATTGTTTTCAAAGTATAACACACTACACCTAAGCCATTTTTACCTACCTACCTACCTACCTACCTACAAGATGTTCCACTCCCGATGGTTACACAGCCATACATTTCTAGGGACGATATGGTGAAACATTACAGTAAAGAGAATATGATTAAAAACGATTCCATGGTTTGTATGTGGAAAGGGCTTATTCGAAGAAGAAGTGTTTACTAAGAAGAAAAGTGGTATATTAAAGTGTCGCATGTTGTGGTTGACACTAGTGCGCTATAGAGAGTTGGACAGTATAATAGAATGTGATCATTTTAGCAATGCTGCTATACACTAAGGCAGATGACGGGGAAATTACCTATCCTTCTGAAATACTGTACGGGCGAGATTTGCAATGGTTTGGAAATAATGACCCTTTTCTTAAAACCATCTGTGGCGGCATCAGTAGCAGGGATACTTTATAGCGGGTAGTATGTCAGTTAGCGGCACATGACGCCTTTTGAAACGGTATCGGTCGTGAGGCAGGTTGCTCCCTTCCATTGAACCACTGAGTTGTGTATAATGCCTAAATTACATTTCACTCTCCGCTATCTCGTGACACGATTGCTCTTTTCAATCATCCTCGGGATGTTCTAGAAGAGACATGTCCGTATTTCTCACTAACTCGTATACAGGGTCTTCCTCGTCAACCGTGGTGAGAATGTCGTCGTTGTGCGCCATTTTGTGATAAGCGAGGGAGAGAGAGAGAGAAGTCTACTCACTTTACGATCGTAGTTAAAAGGATTATAGCTTCAACGCACACAATGGACGACATTGACAGAGAGAAATGATGTATAAGATAGTAGAAGCAATTTTCGCGACATTACGCGAGTTATTGGGGAAAACTGGCGAGACGGCGGCATCGACACTCAAGGTTGTGTATTAGAGGGCGGTTACAGCAATTAAACCTATTGACGATGTACGTAGGGGGTTATTTTCGAGACAATAGACAAGTGTATGTGGAGGAAAAGGTGTAGAGACGACGGCGTCGACACACACAGTTGTGTATTAGGGGGCGGTTAGAGCAATTAAACCTATTGACGATGTACGTAGGGGGTATTTTCGAGACAATAGACAAGTGTATGTGGAGGAAAAGGTGTAGAGACGACGGCGTCGACACACACGGTTGTGTATTAGGGGGCGGTTAGAGCAATTAAACCTATTGACGATGTACGTAGGGGTTATTTTCGAGACAATAGACAAGTGTATGTGGAGGAAAAGGTGTAGAGGCGACGGCGTCGACACACACGGTGGTCGAAACGATTGTGTAATAAGGGATGGTTAGATCTAGTAGCAACAATATACGATAAGTCGTGGACATATGGTGTGTAAGATAATAGAGGTGATTTTCGTCTTTCAACTGCGCGTACCGAGCGTACATTGTGACAGCTATGGCTAGAATGAGGACACGTCCAATTACCCTTCAGGACCATGGGGTGCATATCACTCTCAAACCATACTATCAACAGCTATCCGTACAGTTTGGACGTAATGAGCCTGTTCTTAAAAACAACTATGGCGGTATAAGTAGCAGAGATACTTTGGTAAAGGTGTGTGGTAATAAAATAGACTGTAGTGGGGTGAAGAGATTGGAATATCCTATACTGTTTATTTGCAACACGGACAGAAAAAGCAAACCGGGTAGATTACACATGTATGACTCGTACGGTATAGATTACACACGAATATGGCCCGAATTTCACGATTTTGTGGCAAAATACGGTCGTTTGCATTATTCCTACAAAAGAGTTCGTGTACAAAGCCTGTCGTCGGTAGCTTGCGGTCACCATTGTTTATATTTCGGCAGCTGACGATCTCGAGGTATTTCTAACGATGCTATAGTTAGGCATTTCAGTAGTCTGTCTCACAGTCCCTGAACCACATTAATTTCCCTATTCTCAGTAAAAGTAATACGCTTGCAAACGATTCCATGGTTTTCAGATGGTATGATAATACCAAGAAGAGTATACTCAAGAACTTTAAGAGTAAGGGTTTTTGACGAGGGAAAAATTAGTTTAGTGACAAAGCTGTAGGAATGTTTACACTGTTTCTCACGCCGCCGTCTCGAAGCAAACCGATTTTACTAGCCAACCATACAAAGAGGTGTTATGTGCGGCTTTTAGTGCTTACGCAGCTAGATACCCACGGCGATAACGCCTGTGTTTCATGTTATAGGTATAATTATGTGTAGGACCGGGATTTG